CACGTCCACATTCCCTCCATGGTGGGTGTAGCAGCAGCCACCGTGGAGCAGGGAGCTGTGGAGCGTTTGGATGTTGAGGCAGTTGACATCCCAAGAGTTGGTTCAAGACACAGGGAGACAACGAGTAAAACCATGGGAGTGGATTTAGAAACCTTCATTAAAGCCTCCTCAAGGACAGGTATTTTGCGTGTTATTTATACAAAGTGTTGGACTTAATCCTTCATCTGGACTGTGTGTCACCACATTTATTTCAGATAGGTGCTGGACTACGACTGTATAGGATGTATGACGTAAACGTATGATGCAGTAACCCTTCTTTGTCTTATGAATAAGGATGAGGATCCGGACCCAGTTTTCTTAAGGACTTGTTTCTGCATTTTTTCAAAACCTGAAAAACCAATAACATTTGAGTTTATGGGCATTGCTGTCAAGTCTCAAAGGTCCTATAATGTTGCCTCATGTTATATCTTGAGTTGAGTGAACTTATTTAAAACATATCACTGCCGTACTTACAGTACATACATCGATTGTCTGATAAAGTTAACATTGAATTAGAAATGAACAGGTGTTAATTTCCAAAAAGAAGAATTCTAGTGGTGAGTTGATTGCGGGGATGGTTGAATGTCCAAGGAGGTCTACAGGTTAGCCTTATTTTACAAAATAAGGAGGAAGCATATTCCACATTATTTTGGGGATGGGGGAATACAATCTCCATGGCCAAGCACATCAGCATCTTGCATCAAATTACACCAAAATACTGTATCTTCTTTTTTTCAACTGTGCCCCTGCGGTTGACTGAAATTTAAAATTGTCCACCAAATAATAGGGAAGTATTGATATTGGTATAAAGATCAGATCGTTTAGGGGTCTACATAGATAGATAGAATCCACAAACTTTGTTATTTTTTTATGCAGGACATCAGCTGAGGCTTCAAAAGTCTGAGTTATTCAGGTCAAGTTAGTATCCTGTGGATTCTCTCCTCATCCATTATCAAAATGTTCAATTCTGCTCTTGTTTAGTTCAAATCACTCAAAATCAACATTTTAGAAACCAAGCAAATAACAGTTTTAAAGGGGGTTTCACCAAATGATAGTATGATTGACTTGTTGTGGAGCACCTGAGCAACAGAGAATGTATCCAAACTGAAGATTGAATACAGATGATGCTGTTGCTGGTTTCATCACTCAGTGTAGGGCAGCTGTCTTTCATGATGTGACAGGCACTGACCGTGGAGTTATGAGAAAGTCATGTGATGCAGGGTAAGAGCATTGTTCTGGAAAACCATCTTGCATGCTGTCTCAATTTCTGAAAAATTCCTCAAACTCTAGGGTTTTTTTTGAAGTGAATATGACATTTAAGCATTTCTATTAGAACTTTCTTTTGCCCCTATGACTGAGTATTATCAAAATGAATCTAATCCAAATACCGACTGTATGATACATATTTATCTGTATGAAGTTCAGTGAATAAAAAAATATAATTTGAACACTATTATTTTAGCAGATATAATCCATATGATTCCCAGGATCAGTTCAGGTCTTCCTACTGTTTGGTTTCAAAAGACGCAGTGCTTAGTTTCAAATGATGACACATACTTAAAAATTGTTGAATTGTAAGATAGGACCGCCATGTTTTTTTTGGACTCTTTGCATGTTATTCCAGACCAGAGGTAAAGTGAGAATTTATCCTTCTCATCTCAGTGGGTTATTGGTCCAGATTGTGCCTCCGTGTTGCTGTGAGTTAGCTTGTCTCCTCTTCCTACAGTGGATAATAACATGGACCATGTGCTAACTTAGAAAACAGTGGTGAGAATGTGGTGTGTTGTGCCTCAATCAGTCCCTCCACTATATGCTGAAAGGTAGCTCTGCTAAGCCTTTAAGCTGCTTGAAGACACTCAACCATAATTAATTAGTAGAAAATAACACTGGTCACTCTGTGAATGGATTAACCAATGGCTGGAGTTTTTTCTGTATTTGGTCCCGCCCTCAGGCTGAGGGTAGTCGTGTATTGGTGTCCTGCTGGACATCCCAGTGGGGGATGTTACATTTGTTTGCTATGTCTAGGTGACGATTGACAGAAGAAGACTTTTACAACATCAGAGTTGTATCACTGTTGTAACAGATATCAATGCTTTAAAACTGGGTACATGATTTGTCATTAGTATGTTCTAGCAGTCGGTCAATGCTATCAATGCTATTATCACAGTTTAAGTTGCAGCCACTGTAATTCTGAAATAAATATCTATATTGTATTTCTTATATGTGGTGGTTTAATTTGAAAATATGTATGTCGTTGTTAGACCATGGAAGGTATGCAATGTCAGTTGTTGACCCTTGACCAAACCTCCTTTACTCTCGAGGTCCATTGAACCCCATGAGAGGTCAGAGCTTTTGTTTTTATTTTGGCTTTACTTTGTCTCCTGCTTATGAGGAACAGATAGAATGGATGGCTTACTAATGTCACTTGAATGAGCTTACTTTTGCTTGCCCTGGAGTTGAGTTGGCATGCAACCTGCACTGCTTGGAGTTGCAGGTCTGTATTTATAGCCGGGCTTCTTAGTGTCTTTTCTTGTTATTGAGACACAGAGTTCACTTTGAGCCTCCTGTGTTGAGTATGGATTAAGAGCTAGCTGCTGAAGAAGATCCACTTCTTTGACATGCAGTGAAAAGGAAGGTCTTGCTCATTGCTGTGTTCACAGTTATGCTGCTGCAAGGCTTTATATGAAGGTCAGGCATTGCAACTAGATGAACAAAGGATGGATCTTTTATTTTACCCTTGAAGCTCTGAGCAATGATGACAACGATGGAACAAGAAGGAAGATGAGTGCAGTGGACATCTTAACCATGTGATATGCATGACCTGTGTGGTTATGTTTGTGAGCATATGTGTAAGGGACACCATGGGAGCAGTACTTAGCTGGTTAGCTGCTCGCCTTCATGTTCTGGTGCTGGATACAACTGAAGCGTTTAAGCTTTATAGGGTAAGTGAAATTGTGGGTTTTGGAGTATAAGATCAAACAAATGTTTTATGTCCCGGGAACTTGAAACGATGTCTGAATGATCTGTTCCTGTTGATCAGAAACCTGTTGTTGACTAGCTTAACATTTGCTCAAAGCAGCTTCAACAAAGAGAATTTATGTGATTATGCCTACTACAAAATAGTTATTTTTAATTTTACATGCGTCTCGGCTAACAAATACATGTCTTAAAACTCTGCTTGCTGTTTAATTTTTTTTTTTTTTTTTAATAACTTCAACTGGCTCCAACTGGCTATGTAATGACTTTCTGAGTTTAATTTATAGAGGTGGGAACTTTTCTTTTTAATGTAATAATCAAAATTCTTCTGAGATTTTAGATTGATTCATAACTTCCACAAGTCAGTTTTTTTGCCAACCAATCATTATCGCACTCTGACAACAAGGCGGTCTATTTAAACCATTCTGCCTCTCACTCCTCTTGCATCACATCCACTGTTTGAATTTCCCTCGGGATCAATAACGTATTTATCTATCTATCTATCTATCTATCTATCTATCTATCTATCTAGCTATCTAGCTATCTAGCTATCTACTCTAGGATGAATTGTTCGCTTGTTATGTCTGCAAGATGTCAGTATCATTACATGCACATTCAGGTTCTGCTCTGCATGTCCCCATGGGGGGAATTAAAGGTTTGCACTCAGCAAAATCTGTGGCATGCTGCACTGATGCTGCTGAGAGCTAAGAGCAGAACCAATACCGCCAAATACAACTGTACAAACCACAAGACCAATAAACGGTTCAATCTAAGACGAGAGTATTCCTGACTGAACCAGCAGTTAATATGCTGGGAAAAAAACCATGATGATATCACCCTAAAATCCAAAAATCGAACAAAATAGTCGATGTGAATAATATGATTCCTGGTCATTGGTTTATGGTAACCTCTTACTGTAGAATTAGTAGGATATGTTACTATTTGTACACAGCTGAGCAAACAGGCCCAGTCAGATGCAGCAGAACTAGCTGCATGTTTGTAACACAGCTACAATGGATACAATGGATACAATTGCTTGTTTCAAATTTGATGAAGTGCAGTTCAACACATACGAAATATTTTAATTACTAAATTGAATCATATTTACAAAAAAACCTGTTATTTCCATTTCCATTATTTGTTTTCCTGTGGAGCTGACTAAAACATCTTTTAGTGGGACAGAAAATACCTTGATGTATTCTTAACTGTGGAAGTATGATACTCTCCATTTAGTAAAGCTTAGAACAAGACAATCATCTCCTAGCCATGTTGGCTCATTGGCAACCATAGAAAACAGCCCTTCATAGAATGCAGGCTAAACAGCTGTTTCCATAAGAGGTAATGGTATCACTATTTGATGCAGATCTTTCCCCACACACATTTTGAGAAGAATTCACATTTGGATCCCTCCAGCTCCTGTCCTCTATGTCAAAGTGTCAGGCATGACACTGACAAAGGCAAAGCCCACTGATGTGTGAATGTTACAAGGCCTCATAGGCAACTGGACACTTTATATAGCAGCCTCTCTCTGGAATATGTGTGTGCATGATATGTGTGTAAATATGTGTGAAGCAGTGACTTTGACATGTCATTTAAAAACACTGAGTGGTCAGAAGACTAGAAAACACACAATTTAGTTTTACCAGTAACGTGAAATACATTTGATTGTCATGCAAATGATTGGTAATTTCACCTCAGTAACATGTTTACCTGCTTCAATAGAAGAAAGTTGTAACAACGATATTTTAATAAGAAACTGAATAACAGGTGTTGTGTAGTTGTCTAGCTCATGGTCTCCAATAACTGACTGAGTTAAAATCAACACTTTAAAGTTTACTTTCTAAAGGAGTCTTCATAGAGTTGCTTCTTATAGGTTTTGTGAGGATCAGCTGTAACTCTAAGATTCTTGCTAGCATTGCGCTAAACCCCCTTGTCATTAGTGCTCTAATTTCTGTCTCAAAAACCTCTGCTTTCTGTCTCCACAGCCTCAGCCAGCCCTTGAAGAGTCCTCCCCCACTGAAGAATTATGTTTAGCGGAGGGCGATCTGTGTCCTGGCTCACTGGAGTGGTGTGAGAGTGGCGTCGGAGAGGCTGACACATCTGATGAGTATTTTGACTTCCGCTCTTGCCACAGTGACACCCTTTCAGACTTAAGTCCTGATGAGGAGGACTCTTTGGATGCCCTGCTGGGACTAGAGGATGCCTATGTTGGTCGGCTAACATCGGGCAGCGGCTTCCAAACTAGCCAGAGTAAAACCAGGCGGAGAGAGTCAGTGACAGCTAAGGACTCTTACAGAGATGCAACAGAGACGTATGCTGAAAAGTTCACATGTAGCAGGAGGAAAAGCCCAGAGAACCATGTGGACCCTAATGTTCCCTTGAAGCACAGTACCAGAGACCTTTGCTCAATTGAGATCAGATCGCATCAAAGAACAGAGGACCTAAACTTTGACTTGAACCAAAAACATCCCTATTTACATGCTGTTGGCACCGAAAGTCAAGTCAAGGAAACCTGGGAGCCAAGCAGCTTACATGCACAAAGCCAACACAACACTGACACCTTTGACACAAAGGTAAATAGTACACAAGACACTCCGGAAGTGAAGTCACCTGCACTGCCTAAAGTAAGCAATTCCATCAGACATAATAAATGGACAGACTCTGAAACATGTTTGATTCAAATAGATTCCACAGACAATAAGATTGTGAAGACACGACAACAGCAAAGAAGACCTGTGAAAAATGTACAGACAGAACAGACTGATAAAAAGACTGTAGGGGACACAGGGGAAGAAATATATGAAATCTGTAATAATGAGCCATTGAGAACTTCCTCTTTGGAGAACACAGGTTTAGACAGATGCGCCAATGACTGTAAAGATAAACACCACAGAAGAAGAAATGTAGAACCCCAGGGTACAATCAAAGATGGTAGCGAGAAAGATGCCAGAAAAGTGCACAGTGAGGACACAAATTACTTGCGGACTCATTTCAGTAGAGTGCATAAAAAGTGTTATTGTAGTGACAACACTTGCATCAACTGCACAGATTATACTGATGTAGATGCACAATTGCACTCTAAATCTGAGACAAATATCTCAGACTCCCAGACAGAATTTTTTGAAGCAAGTCCAAACATCATAGAGACATGTAATGTGAGTATTTGCTGCTCACAATCTCATCGTGAGGAGAGTCCAAAAAGAGGGCTGACGGACTTTCAGGATTGTACAGGTGTAACAAAGCCCAAGGATAAGCCATGGGTGTCACAAGTCTGCTTCCCGGCAGAGCAGATTAGGTGTTTTGGTGCTTCAACAGAAGTAACTAAACCACCTAGGTTAGTAAATGAAATCTGTTCCTCTATCACATTTTCCAAGGAAACCACAGCCTCTGTTCCATCAAACACCTGTGCTTCTGAGCCTACTTTGGATCTAAAGGTTTCTTCTCTAACCCCAATGGTCCCATTAGCAGACTCGGGCAAGAAGGAGCTCACTGAGGAGAAACCGGATCTAAAACAACCTCAGAATGAAAGGCTTCAACCACTGCAAGTTCTAGATCTAGCTCAGGATGTTATCCCTCATCACTTGGATCAGGTTTCTGCTGCAATAGAAATATCCACTCATAGAAAGCTCAGTTCTTTGGAAGAGCTCACACACTCTTGCTCTGCAGACCAAAGGCCTTACACAGTTAAAATCCAATCGGACACCGAGAAGGGGTCTGAAGAATTCCTGCCTCATCACACATTCTCAAAAAATGTGAAGCTTTTTTCGGGCAACCAAGGATCAGCGGATGCCTCCCCTGTGGTATTAAGGAACTTTGAAAGAGAGAGGCAGAAGATCGGATCACACTGCTCTCTTCTCTTGCACAATAAGAAGCCGGAGGTGGAGGGCAGCCGTGATTACCTTGACCAGGAAGAAATTGTGGAAGCAGTAAGCAAAAAAAATCTTTCACCCTCACAACTTAGCACAACAGAGCTGTCTGGGCACAGTGAGCCTAGAATAATTCCCATAGCTTTTGCCTGTGATCTAGATGCCTGCTTAACCAATGTGCCTTGTCCGATACCAGTTACATCAACATCAGGTTTTGCTTCTAATGAGTTGATTCCATACAGTTGCAGAGAAGACCAAGAAGTAGTTGATGTAGCTCAAAAGGTAACTTCATCAACAAACACAAACACTACTGTCAGCACAAGTTCGACTCACTGTAAACAAGTTTATCCCAAGCAGAAGATCCCTGAACCTCCCTGCAGCCTGCAAGCCAGTCTTTCTCTTCTCTCAGACTCCAATAATAACACCAGTACCAATTTAAAAGGTGCAGAGAGGGGTGGTGATGTAGGTTGTTTCTCAAGACAAACCCAGAGCAAGTTTGAAAGAAGTGGGAGAAAACCCTGTCCTTATTTTGAGCCATTAAGAAATCGTAATTCTGACTTGGAGAGCATAGGCATGCCACAGATGTTACGGTCTTCTCTGGACCGAAGGCGTAGCTGGAGCAGTGAGGACAGTGATCTTGATAACTATATCAATTTAAGCTTGACTCGTGTAGAGGAGCCAAAAAAAATGAAGACGGAGAGTAGCAGAGGGGATATCACTGTTGTTGAAAGTCAGAAGTATGAGAGTTCTCACTCAAAAAGAAATGAAAGCCCCTCTCACTTAGTGCTTAGTTCAGATAGTCGAGGGCTTTTGGAGGACAGTGGATTTAAAGAAGGGCATCACTGTTGTAGAAAACCAGTGGATAACAGCTTATCTAACAGAGAAATCATTGGCTTGTCCCAATCATTTAAGGACTATGCACTGGCCAATGAGTGTAAAGACCACACACAGATGAGCTTGCCAGCATCCCAGCAGGAAATGAGAGTAGTAAGGTACTCTCAACCGGATGTCAGCATCAACGTGCTTCCTGTCAGTAGTTTAGAGCCAATTCTGGAGGCTGATCGCTGTCTAGAAAAATGTGAAACAGCAGCAAATGATTTCAAAATAGAAACTAAGAAAGACTATGAGACAATGAGTCATGCTTATGAATTTCGGGATGATGTTAACCTTTCAAGTTTCCAGAGTCCACACCATCAGCAGAACCAGGATTATTTTAACCCTTCTAAGTTTGAATCTGAGGATAACCTTTCAAACCAAGAGCCCTGTAGCCCTGTGAATGTTGCTTATGATGCTGTGTCTTACACCTCAGCTAGCAGCAGCTGTGATGACTTGGAGGATCCTCACTTGGCTCTTTCAGCTGCAAATGTCAACATTGATAAAATGATCAAGAGAAGCAAAACAAAAGGCAACCAGACAGGAAATAAAGGATCGAAGTTTTTTGTTTTTTCTAAAATCCCTTCTTTAAAGAAGGCTAAGGGCACAAAGGGTTCCATAAGTGAGGAGGTACCCAACAAGGTGTCAGATGGAGGAGGTGAGAGCTTTTTGACTGAGGAAGGCCTACAGAGGGACAACACAGACGATGAGGTTTTTTTTAAAGATGGCATCCTCAATCAAACAGCTCACCGTGCATTAACATCATTGCATTGTGAGACAGAGGAAGAGGACTATGGCTTTTTCTCCTCTTCTCCCAACCCTTGCCATGTTCTTCAGCTAGTCAGTGAGGGGAGCAGCAAGGGAGGTTATGGGGTACCAAGTCCAGACAACCTCCTCTTGGGGCAGGTCCAGTCACCTAATGGCCAGGCTTACAGGAAAGGCAAGAGCAATGACAATTTAAACCTCCGCATGCGCTTTGCACAAGCACACAAGTCCCTTTCCAGCCTGTTTGAGTCCCGTTCAATGGACAAAGATAATGATGAGCAGGCCACTGGTGACATTGATAATCATTCTGGTAAATCAAAACAATCCTGGAGGAAGCTGAAAAAGGCCAAGGAGGCTGAGATGCTAAAAAGAACTCTTTCAGTACAAGATGGGGAATGTAGAAGTAAGGCTTCATGGATGGAATGTGGAGACTTTTCGTCCTCTCCCCTCCTCCACAAGCTCAGCAGTCAAAGGTCACCATCCTCCCTCAGAGCACTTTGCCACACGGATCCCATCTCAAAGCGTGGAGTTCCACATGGAAGTGTAAAGGAAAGCCTCCATGGGTGTAAATCTGAGGGTCAGCGAAGAAAGGGTTCACTCCAGAGTCCCCCTACCACTGTGTGTGTGTCTGGCCCAACTCCGCTTTTAAATGACATTTTCTTCCCCCTGTCCAGTCAGACCTCACCTCTGAGCCCCTTGTCACCAGCTTCCCTTATTCATCAAGTTTTGCCATCCCAGAACAGGTGCCAACCTGAGCATTCCACTGAGAGTCCCCTTCGGCCAATGAGTCCTAAACCGAGTCCTAGCCCTAAACCGGGGACTCAGCGCAAAATATATTGTTACCCTCTCTTAGCAAAGGCTAGTTCTGTTTCTCCGATCCTTCTGAGCCAGTCAGTTAGCGAGGAGGGATTGGCAGATCCCCCTGAGAGACCTAAAACCCTCAAACCCTCAACCAGCCCTCTGGGACTCAGCCTCAGCCCTCAGGATTTGGTGGAAAGCAGAATTGACTGCCATTCAAACATCAGTCTGTATGCCATTGGCTGCAACAGCGAATTAGAGGTAAGAAACCATCCTGCATGGAGCAGAAATCTGTATAATCCTTTTCAATAACTGTAGTCTTGGGCTAGAGGTCATTAATGTACATGCAAAATCAAGTGAGCCTTTTTAATCTTTATTTTATGAAAATGAAGGATTATTATAAAGTATCTGATTGGACTTAATTGAAGGATCATATGCCATAACAGTGTTAACAAAAGGTATGCCTTCTGTTAAAGCTACTAATGCAGGTTATGGCATCCCTCAAATACTCATCTCCCAATGGGCTTTCAACTCCCTTTGAAAATAGTTTCATCTCCAAGTCACAGACATAAATGTATGTTTAAAAAAAAAAAAAATCAAAAACACATCAGTTCATTGCTTTCTGTGTTGTAAATGAACCTTAAAAGAAAATCTTCCAAGGTGAAGAAGAGCTGTAAACGGGACTTCATAAGGAATTAGGGGGGAAAAAACCCTGTGCTCTCAGAATCTGCCTGCACGTTCAGATGTTGAAATAGGTCTTCAATGCTGAAAATTGCCAAAATAGAAAACAAAAGCATTTCTAGCAGGCTTTACCTCATGCGTTCTTAATGTTTTTTTATGCAGGTAATAAGACCATTTGCATTAGCATAATTGCTTCATTCACAAAGTTCCTACAGTGTATTTACCAGTATGGCCCCTCAAGGCAATTCTGACAAAAAAAACAACAACAAAAAACATCACTTAAGTAGATTTTTGCATTAAAGTTCAAGCTACAAAACAGTCAACGTTAGGAAGTAAAGAGAGAATCTTAAAGACTGATATAAAACTCAAACCTACTTCTTCAGAATTTGGTAAGAATTGGTTTACAGACATTATTTGACACCAAGTTTATCATATATGCTTAATCTGGTTCTAATTTTTCTTGAAGTTATTACTATTTCATTCATAATATTTGTTCAGTCTGAATATTAGTTGTTTTTCATCTGTTGATCATTTCAAACTTCACTATGGAAGGTACTACAGTGCCAAACAAATTAATTTGTCAAACCATTTGTTCAAAGGTTAGAATTCAAATTCAAACTAGACTAAGTATGGGCCACCATCGATTGTTTAAATAGTGTATGAGAAACACTATATAACAGGGTAGTTATGGCTCAGACATGACTTCTTAATTGTCTGATATTTGAATGGAAAATTCCCAAACAGCAATTAGAATAAACACTGCAGAGAGATTAAATTCTGTCGCTAGAATTAGCTTAAGCTGATTTTAACCCTAACCCTAAAACAACACATCCCACACCATACATAACTTTAAGCCTTAATGTAACTTAAACAGGTGGATTTCATAAAAGTCATCCCCTCTACAGTTGTCTTGAATGAAGAAATTAGCTATGGGGACCTAAACTACAGCCACAAGTTTTAGGAATAATTGGTTTTGGCACTTCCTCTTGGCCTCCTTTCTCAGCCCTGGAGTTTGCTGCTTGTAGGCCACCATTCAAAAGAGTGGAACAAATGTTTGTCATAATGAAAATAATTGTTTAATTCATACATAATGAACAAACATCAAAGGACTGGACTGTTGCTTCCAGTTGCAACTAACTGCAGTCTGTCTGCAAATAGGTTGGGATGGAGAAAACTCCCTTTCTTGGTTGCTCTCTGTGAACTCTGTGAGGAGGAAAGAAACTACATCCCACAGTAGAATTTTCGATTTCCATTCCCTGGTTTACCAGCTTACCAACAGCCCACAGTCCATGCCAGTTCCTTGAGGGCCTATACTACACAGCCAGAGATAACTGGAGGACTAGCCCCCCCTGGTGGGATCCTATCACATTGTAGGGAATTGGATTTGACAATCAAAAAGCTGTTTCAAAACAGGATTTCTCCCCAAAGTAGACTCCAACTAAGTACACAGTAATGCCCTTAGGTCTTTCCAATTTATGGCCAATCACATAATCTTAAGGTTACAGCATCTTTGTGTGTGATTTATTTCCCTAGAAGTTTCATGTGCGCAACCATAAGTAACAAATATGTTGGGAGTGTGTACTGAGCTTCCCTGACTTTGTGAGAACTTGCTGAATATAAAATGTAATGACAACTTGTTAGTCATGGCACTAAATCTGTGAAAATATTTAGTTGGATTGCATCATGGTTTTGAATTGACACTTATTATGCATGTACATTACATAATAATTTGTATAGATGCATGCTACTAATGTAATGTTACTAAAAACATAGAATTTCACAATATGAAAAACATATTTTGTGAAGAGACACTGAAGAGTTTGTTCAACTGAAAAAACAAACAAACACAATTTTTTTTGTTTTTACTTTCCTGAGGGTGTTGTAACTTATGATAATAGTACTTTAATTCTTTGATATAGAGAGTTACTATACTGTTTATGTCATACTGTTTCAAACAGATAGTGTTGGAATTGACTAACCAACTTTCTGTCAGTGAGGGAAGGTGCTTGTTAACCATTCTGTAGTTATTTCAATGTCTATTCTCATGCCATATCATACTAACATTGATACTGTGGTCTTTATGACTGTATTAAGTTTAAAGTTAAAAAAATATATATATTTAATCCCAAACGTGCAGTGTGTAAGGGGACATTGAGCGGAGTTGTTAGAAAACAGTTGACGAGATAGTTAACTATGACTAACCATTGAACTGTGCCCTCAAAAGGGCACAAAAAATGTTGACCAAACTTCCTGCCAGACCAGAAAAAGAAAGCTGTTTGTGGAGAAGACAGAGGGGAAAGCTTCTGTGGTTCCTGGTTGGTTGAGGGACGGCCACTGGGTGGTTATGGTCGATAATGGAAGTGGCCAGCAGCGACGGCAAAAGTGTTCAGATGACCTATGGATTGAAGAGCAAAAGAAAAACAAACGTAAACTGGCCAGAGTCATCAGGGGGAGCCTGGGCCAACTCCACACAATGTTATCTCAAGACATGGACAAAGTAAGATGTTTCTACAGTAAGGTGGGCCCACAAAACAAAGATCCAAACCTTGGAAGTCTTTGGTCCTCATCTTCTTTCTTCTCTGCCTTGCTTCTGAGATTATGTTCCCTCTGAACTCTGCGTTTCTCTCTGAAGAATTTTGACATTTATTCTTAAAAATGAAGCCGGGTTCTCTCTTTCATCACTCTACCTTGGTTTCTCAAACGACCTGCTGTTTTCCCCACTGCTCTACACATTAATGGATGCATTCATCTTGTGATCTTTTCTTTGCACATCACTGTGTTTTTTCTAATAAATTTTTTTCTCCTACGGGTTACGTCCAGTTAACCATTAGCGAACAAATCAATTTCAGTAATGATATATGCGATTAAACAAATCCTTTGTCACTCCTACAGACTGATCATGGAGTCACCTTAGGGCCCATTGAAGCCTTCCATGGGAAGCCCCTTAAGGCTCACTGCTTTTCCCAGAGCACCCCCATTGGTCTTGACTGCCTAGGCTGGAGGAGCCGCGTCTTATACTCCTGTAAGTACTCTTATTCAATTTATTTCAATTTCAGCTTCTGCATTCTTAGCTAGATTTCTCTAGGGTTGTTAAATGGTGCACTGTCTTTAGGCCCGGCTGGAATTGACTGAAGGTGTCTGTGCAACATTCTGTCACTAGTTTAAGTCTCCTACCGAAAGGATGTTTAGTATTTTCATCATAGTATTCCATTCAGCATGGACAGAGCTGTGGAAATCAGGAGACAGAGCAGGTTGTCTGCCAATTGCTAATTGCCAATTGGGAGTTTCTTCAAGTTTGGATGTCAAACTCTATTTATCAATGTGTTCATAAACAAGTTACTTCACCCAACTTGTTCCTGTTAGGCAGGATACCCTTGCAACATACCCCCAGTGTCAATGTTGTTTGTGAATAAATGTTTCATTCAAAGATCCCGCTTGAAAAAAAGGGAATTTATGGGCAATATTCGTATTATTGTTTTGTTAGTATACAGTATGATGATCAACTGAAAATAAGAACTGTGTCGTCATTACCTTCAAGTTAGCCCTTTATGTCAACGGAAGGTGCAAGTTTGGCTCCAACTGTGAGTTCTCCTTCGGGCTTGGAAGTGGAAGTTTAGGGCAGTGGTTGTCAAATATTTGCAACATGGTGCAGGGGGCCATACATCCTTCATACTGCTCTTTCAAAGTAGAGAAGACTTCTCCATGCCATTCCATGTAGCTCATGGTTGCTTCTTTCTTTTCTTTTAAAGAATAAACTCCAGCTTACTTTTAAGGTGAACTTAGTTCCTAGTTGTCAGTCGGTTTCTTTGTCCCTCTAGTTAGTTCATTCTGGCAGTGGAAGTCGGGTGAAAAGGTTTCAATCACATGTAAATCTGGAATACGCCTCGTTTAATACAATAATGAAAAGAAGGTGAAAGAATCAGCTCACGTCCACTGCAGACAGTTCATAACTGAAACACTAGTTCTGCACTATAACCACTTACTATTTTGTGAAGGATTTTGTTTTGGATTTTTGCCTTTATTTGATATGATCAGCAGATAGAGTTGGAAACCAGGGAGAGAGAGAGAGAGAGAGAGTGGGTAATGACGTGCGGTAGGAGAGCAAAAATATTGCACTATAAATGAATATTCACACATTTTAAAGACGGGACTTATACAAGTGACACTATAACATCATTGACAAATCGGTGATTTATGTAACTAAGCAGTCTAACTTTTTTTTATGGGATTTCTATGTCTAGTTGAGGCTGCATAACATAACGAGTGTAGTTCCTTATTGAACCTGCTGGCTGCAGTAAACTGTCACTGAAACTTAAAGCCTGAGGTCTCTCTTACTGTGCTGCTCTATACTAATAGATAGATATGAATACATTCTTTAGGTTTGTTTCAGAAGACGCATAAAGAAAAGTAGAAGTACATTTGGCTAGTTGTTTTCTAAAAAAGTTGCAAAATGACATTACTTTACTTGCTTTTTCCATTTATATCTCCTGTTCCATTTCTTAATATATTGTAATGTTTATTTTCAATGATAACAAATCTTATTAAAAGAGCGCTTCAACCCTTTTATTTAAACTTTTAGTCCTTTCTGCTTTTGGATTTTAATCAAACACCTTCAATATTCCAGTGTGATAGGATTATTCAGTCCATTCCTGAGAACACTTTCTTTAAGTCATGTTATTTTAAAATGTATGCGCACAAGTACAGTCACGCAGTACAACAGACCCAAAATTCTTATTATTCATTTTTTAAACAAATACCAAGTCAAAGTAGAGAATTGTGTTTTGTTTTATAACTTATTTGGAACTTGCTGGAGTATGATGTCCTTTCAGAAAATACTGCTTGGTGCTAAGTTTCAGATAGTAGCTTGGCTGTTATATTACTAGTTGGGGGCGGCTCAGTTGGTAGAATTGTTGTCTCTTAACCGTAAAGTCGAGGGTTCGATCCCCAGCTCCTGCAGCAACATGTCCGATGTGTCCTTGGGCAACTAACCCTGAATTGCTCCCTCTGCTTCGTCTGCAGCGTATGAATGTATGAATGGTATTAGTTACTCCTCATGGTCTCACTACATAGCAAGCAGTGTGAATGTGTAGGTGTGACATGCAGGGTAAAAGCACTTTGAGTAGTCAGAATACTAGAAAAGCACTCTACAAGCCACCACTTACTAGTTTTGTATTTGTGCTTGATCACACATTTGTAAGCTTATAGTGATCCAATTAAAACCATTCTACTGCAACAGTCCTGCAGTAAATCATTTCTTTATAAAGGTTCTAATGCTCAGCTCACTTCCAGTAGCGAGAGTCTGAATTTGGTCTTTTTTAATTGGTCAATTTAGTGTTGGTTCAAATAAATATCAAAAATATATAAATTTATACAAATATATTTTCTCTCTTCTTATAAATCACAATAATAGTATTTCTTTGATGAATTTACATTGGGAGATACTATTGGGCCAATTGTGTGATATTGGCTTTGTTGTTGATGCTGTCTCTTCAATGTTTTAAAAAACCTGTAGGAAACACCAAACCAGTTCATGTTTCGAGGCAGAAATGTCAATGACAGGTGTCAAACCCTTATGAAAAACAGCAAACCAGCAATAGCTGGAAATCTGTCTATTATTATTATTTCTATTTTATTTTTTTCTGAACTCAGACGGTTTGATTTAGAGGTGCACTTTTCGACATATCGGTTAATCAATGCATCATGTAATGAATCAACAAAAAGAAAAAAAGAAAAAAAGAAATCTCACATTTTATTGACTTAACACTTCACTTATCAATTCATAATCTTCTGGAATTTGTAAAAGAATACCGTAAAACATTGATTACTTATATTTTATGAAAATGTTTTATGCAGATGATGCATTCATTTAAAAATATACATCTAAAAACATTAAATGTATTTCACTCATTACAGTTACATATTACGATTACAAAAAATAAATTAATTCTTTAATCTGCTTTCTTATGTACTATAAGTAGATTTAGGAAATTAACATATAGTATGGACTATTTAGGTTTAAATGTGGGTAAACGTGTGTGTGTGTGTGTGTGTGTGTGTGTGTGTGTGTGTGTGTGTGTGTGTGTGTGTGTGTGTGTGTGTGTGTGTGTGTGTGTGTGTGTGTGTGTGTGTGTGTGTGTTTGTAAGGATGTGTGTATTTGTTCCTGTGTTTTGGGTGGGTGAGTAAGGGGGTACTGAGGGAGGGCTGACTTTTTTTTTTTTCTTCTACTAATGATCCTGCACCATTAGACGTCTGTGCTGTCGCTAGAAGGCAATCTACACAGTCGAGAAGCAGAAACCTCCCTGTAGGACCCCTACTGATGTCAGCCTGTGTAGAGAGAGAGAGAGAGAGAGAGAGAGAGAGGGGAGAGAGACAGTGTGAGAGAGATTGACTGGGAGTTGATATGAGGAAATGAAGCGGTGTGCAAACGGGTGGAAAGACCCAGAGCAACAAGAGCAGAGAGAGAGGAAGCAGCCAATGTATGACAAGCGTTCCAGAGCAGAGAGTTTAAGGGAGGAGACGAGCGCTGTTTTGTGCATGGGAGGAGAAAACAGCAAATTGACAGCTGAAGCTTACCTCAGCGAATAGTGCAGTAGATCAGCCAGGAGGACACCTCCCCTTCCTCCTCCTCCTCTGCACTCTCTCCCTTCTGGGAGAATAAACCACCTGCTCAGGCGCCTTGCCTCCTCTGCAATTCCACTAACCTCTTCACTGCCCACTTCCATTTACCCACTTGTGTTGTGCATCCAAATTGGGATGCGGACCCAGCAGGGCTCAGAGGCTGGGGTTCCCCTGCCTGGAGGCAGCTGTGGCAGCAGTGGCAGCTCGGGGCTGTCACCTGGGTCTGACTCGGATGGAGGAAGCCCGACGGGCAGAGGGTTGAACAGCATTGTGGATGGAGGTCTAGGGGTTGGTGGACGTATTGGTGGAGGTGGAGGAGGTGGCAGCTTGGGTGGCACTCTGAGGGGGGTCCTATCTCGCTATTGGAGCTTAGAGAGTCTACACTCCACCACAGGTAAGTGCTCTGCCCATACAATGCAGGTTTTTTTTTTTTTCAGATTTCCCCCAAATCACTTAAGTACAACATGTTACTTACATGCAATTTGTAGATATACAGTTTCCTTTTTGATGCACAGAAAGGCACTGTTTGTGATCACACATGCAAGCCAGCAGACTGACACACAGCCATGAGGTTAGTATGTGACACAAGGATTGATAAGAAGCACTGAGGGTGTGAGTGTGTTTGTGCACGTTTGTGCGTCATGTCAGTTGACACCCGCTTAAAGGATAGGTGCTGTGTTGATGTTTGGGTGGGCCGGCTGCATGGCTCGAGTCATGCAGAAAGTGCCAGGAAATAATGAAGCTTCTGCTGGCAAAGCTTGATTTCTGACAGTCTCTTTATCACATATTTAAGTCTATGTGCTTGTCTTATATATGCATGGGTTATATACTGTCAATGTATGTGGTTGCCAAGGTTAAATTCATCTTTGCTTCAAAGTAACATTTAAAGAATATGACTGATCATCCTTGAGACTCTTGGCCCTGTACCATTTGAATTTTTTAAGGATTTTTTTGCATTTCATTTCGAAGTGACATCACAATAATTCACCTAGTGATAGAAGAAAAATGACATGGGCACGTGAAGAATAAAAAAAAAAGCTTAAATCGCTAATTTTCTGATAACAAGGCCAATGTGATGTTAATACTGAAACGTTTTTTTTTTTGTTGCATCAGACACACATCTTATTGTATTATTCCTTAACACTGTATTGTTGCCTGTGAATAACCTGTTGGTCTATGTTCAAGAGTGGTCCCATATCCTTAAATCTCATGCATATGCATGCTTTCCACTCACCAACCCAGTCAGCCTTTTTATCTGTTGTCCTGGGACATTTTTTTTTTGCTGCAGAAGATTGATGTAGGAGAATAGCAGAAAAGCTGGCTGTCACTTTGTACAAGTACAAAATGCCAAGTTGGGAGCAGCAATACCAGTGTATGGGAGACTGGTTCCTAAGCTCCTAACA